AACCTCCTGTGCTAAGGCCCCGCCCCTGCACTCCCCCGTTGGGCCCACACCACGTGGACTGGGAGATCGGGCAGGAGGGAGGGAACTTAGGGCCCTGGATGGCAGGTAGTGCTGGGTGCTGGGAGAGCTTGGGGCCGGCCTGGCTGCACAGACCCCGGGGCTGGCTGCCCGTTCCTTTGAGGGGTCGTGGCGCCTATAGCCTGCTCCCGGCAGCCGGCGCCCTGGCGCGCTCCAGGGGCCCGGGTCTGGCTATGGGGGCGGGTGCGTCTTCCCCCAGCGAGCTGCGAGGGTGCGGAGCTGCCCCTGGGCACTGGGAGCAGAACCGGCGCCGCTGCCTGCAGGGTTTCCTTGCTCCCCGGGCTCAGCCTGGGCTCAACGTGCTGTGGGGTTTGGTCGGTGGGCAGGCCAGGCAGGAAGGAACTGGGGCGGGAGGAGGGGGGCTCTTCCATACACAGATGTTGGGGGGGTTAAATTCTGTGTAGCACAGACGTGAGTAGCCCACCCAAGCGCTGCCATGTGAGAGCGCCACAGGCATGGCACTGCTGTGGGGAAGCTCACCACACAGCTTGGCGGGCACTACCAGGGCACTGCTGTGAGGAAGCTCACCACACTGCCCGAGCTTCGGCGGGCACTGCTATAGGGAAACTCACCACACAGCTTGGCTGGCACTACCAGGGCACTGCTATGGGGAAGCTCACCACATGGCTTGGCGGGCACTACTAGGGCACTCCTGTGGGGAAGCTCACCACACAGCTTGGCGGGCACTACTAGGGCACTGCTGTGGGGAAGTTGGTGCTGCTGTGGGGGGTCCCATTGCTGGAAGCCCAGCGGGTGCTGCGATGGGGTGCTGTTGCAGAGGGGTGCGGGGCAGGGCACTGCAGGGAGACCCCATGGGAGTGGCTTGCAGTAGCAGCCGTGGGCGGGGCCATCTCCTGGCGGGCACAGGCACTGCCCAGGAGCGCTTGTCCCCGGCTCCTGCTGTCCTGGGGAGCCAGCCCTGGCCTCTCGGCCCATGCGCCTGGCACCCATCTCCTGGCTTCTGCTCCCTGCCCTGCAGGTTTCTGATGGGCGCCTCCTGCGGTGGGGGCAACATGAAGGTGGATGACGCACGCCTACTCCATCCTGGACGTGCGGGACGTGCAGGGCTGCCGGTGAGGAGCGCTTGTCCCCGGCTCCTGCTGTCCTGGGGAGCCAGCCCTGGCCTCTCGGCCCATGCGCCTGGCACCCATCTCCTGGCTTCTGCTCCCTGCCCTGCAGGTTTCTGATGGGCGCCTCCTGCGGTGGGGGCAACATGAAGGTGGATGACGCACGCCTACTCCATCCTGGACGTGCGGGACGTGCAGGGCTGCCGGTGAGCCGGGTGGGGCAGGGGCAGGGGAACGGGGCTCAGCCCGTTGTGCCCCCGGGAGGACCGAGGCCGGGCCTGCCCGGGGCTCCTGAGACGGAGCCAGGCTCCAGCTGGGATCCCAGGGGAAAGCGAGTGGAGATGGGAAGGGGGTTGGGCTAAGGCAGGGGTGAGGAACATCCAGCCCCCAGCTTGCCTGGATCTGCCCCCCGAGGCTCAGGGCCCCCTCCCGCACCTGCAGAGGGACTGGAGCCCTAGGCTCTGGTGTGGGAGGGAAGTGGGGGGGTGGGTCTTCCTCAGTCGGGGCCGTGGCACTGAGGGTTTGGGGGTTTTTAGCTTCTCACGTGTGTGCGGCCCCCGACTCGAAAAGGCTCCCCAGCCCTGGGCTAAGGGGTGGTCCATGCTGCACTCCAGGGACCCCCGGAGCCCAGTAACAGATGCTGGCCCAGGCCCCCTTGCTCCACCCCTTGGCTGCGCACCGGGGGCTGCTGCAGGGTAGGCTGGCGTCCTGATCCGGCTGGACGAGCGGTCCCCTGCTGACTGGCCTGGAGGAGAGCTGCCCAGAGAGGTTCCCGTCAGTCGGGGACACGGATGCCAGCCTCCAACCGG